TTAAGAAATGGGTGGTTATAGGAGTTTGAGTAATAGAAAGGAGTGTTAAAATGTAAATGGTCTGTCTCTTATGAAAGAATGACCTCTGTTGTGAAATTTCTGAAATCTCTGCATTCCTTTTAACATATTCAGCAAGTTCAGGAAGGCAGAGAATGTAAATATGTTGGAAAATTACCTTTTTAACATGAGCTTGTGTCCTGTATATGTTTTAGATACCATGTTTGGAAACCCTTTTTTAAAACAATGACTGATTATATTCTAATTCAAGCTGTCTTTTGTTTAGGCTTAGAGTGAAATAATAATAAATATCGATAGCATTTTGAAACAGCTCTGTTAAGAGAGTCAAAATCTACTGAAACACTTATGCAAACAAAAAAGGGAATAAAGATAAAAAGAATTATTTTGATTCAGAATACATTGTTAACCTAATCTGAAAGACACTGATTTCCATCTTCATTATTTTCTTTTTGCCGCTGATAAGAAAGTTCTCAAATGATGTTTGGAGAGCAGTAGATGTTTTATTAAAGCAAGCACTGCCTCCCTATAATGGAGGTAATTGTGAGCGATAAGAATAGAGCAGGTTATCTGCATGTTGTTTAAACAGAAGGAGCTACTTTTGTGCCATCCCTAGGAGCCATCTGCCCAAGCAAAGGGTCACCTGTCTGTCCAAACTAATTTATAGATTGGGGGTGAGGTGGGGAGCAAAGAAATGTAATTTGAGTTGAATCTTTCCAGTAATGAAATCACTAGTGATTTTATTGTAATGAGGTTTACGTGCAAAGGGCAGTAACGAACAGCTGTATGGCTGCCCTGCACTTGTACTTGTGAAACACAAGGTGGATGCAAAGGAACTGCATAAAAATGGGATTCTAGAGGTATATTGTAGATACAGTCTTTGTATGGTGAGGCATAGTGTTCCATTGTAACATGTTATTTTACTGATCTTGAGAATGATGATCATTTTAATGAAGGAAAGGGCACATTGACATGCAGAAGGCACAGCAGTCAGAATGTTATTAACATGCAAGAGTTATAGTCATATTATATTTCATATATATTTCATATATATATATATATATATATATATATATATTGCACAACCCATCTGACTTAGGACTTTTGGTGCATATGCATGCTAACTATAAAAGGGGCAAAAATTGTATTCCTCAATAAAAAGGCCACATGAATTTTCTACCACATCTGTTTATAGTAATTACGGACATAATTAACATGAGAATTACAAGTGAAGTAATGACGAGCTGAGCAATGAGGTATTATGGCATAATGGTCATATGTCGGTATTCTCACATTATAACACAGTAGAATTCACATACTCAATGCAAGAAAGGAAATGCTAGGTTTTGAAGCATTAGAACAGCTACAAAACCTCTTTTGCCTGAGGCAGATGGACCTTCTTGCTTTATAAGGAGGTAACCCGTTATTAAGAGGGAATCAGTTGAAATTAAGATTTGTAGCCTCAAGCTTGGACTTTCAGACAGCTGTGATTATGAATGGTTCATCTGTTACACATTTTTACTCTGACCATGGTATACATTTGCTTATAATGCTTTCTTTTTTAAAAAAAAATGAGGAAAGGAGATGAATAGCTGTTTTCACAACAATTGTTCTAGAATGATGTCAGTTTTCTGTAAGATCTGCCTGATAGGAGATACAAGTTTATATCAGCCCTGTGTTTTAGATCTGGATATTTTTAAAATATGAAAAATATTATTAATTAATCTTTGGAGAAGATGCTCCCTCCCTGTCAGATGATAAGCAGTAGCCCAAGGGTCCTCTCCACCTGTATTGTTATGATATGATTATATAGGGCAATCTATATAGACCTGGAATTAAAATCTGCTCTATTCAGTGGTGCTCCAGTTAAGTATGGATAGAATTGTAACCATCCATGAGTTACACAGGTACTATATGAACATTTGCTACTGCAGAAAATATATCCATCTGAAGTTGTTTTGGCATGCCTGTCATCCTTTTTATAATGTTTGTTCTCAGATATGGTTGGCTAATACATGGCTATTATAAAAGATGGTCAGAAGGTGCGGGAGAATGTTTAGAGAGTAAAAGATTGTATAAAGAGTCAGATGTTGCTTTAAATGCATAACATTTGCTTTAGAAACCCTTGCTGAACCCAGTTGTGCTTCTATTCCTTTTCAGACTTCTAATTTATTGCCCATACATTCTGAAGCAATTCTTGGGATGCTTTTGAAGATCAGGATGTGAGGCTCTGATCTGAGAACACTTCTATGGAAGTAAATATTGTGAGCATAAGCCTTGTTATACTTTCAGAGGGATGAAGAATTAAAACGCATGCCTTGTGCTGTGTCCCAATGATACCATGAAGTTTTCGCATTATTGGATTAGTGAAGGATTTATGACAGTCTTCTTTATGTGGCATTTCATTACAGTGAATCAGTTTCTGAACATATATGCATTCCACTGATAGAAGGTTCAGCTTTTGGCTTTTTATCATAGGTGAAGCCCCCTTGGAGCCAAGAGACTTGGTTAGGTTGCTATCAGATTTGTAGCACTTCTTTCATGTTTGTTTGTTTGTTTGTTTTTTGGTGTGTGTGTGTTTCATGTATTGATTTGATTTGCATTTATTTCAAGAAGAATGCAAAATTCAAACTGTAAATTAATATCATTCACATGTTATCCAAATGACAATCCATTTAACATTTCTGGATTCCTGTTTCAAATGAGCCACAAGACTCGTCTTTACAAACAAACACCTAGTCCTTATGGGTTCATTTGCAGTTAGAAGATGCTCTGGAATTTAAAAGTTGAGATGAAGACCAGCCAGTTTGTTTATCTATTTGTTTTTCTGATAGCCAGATATATACTGCTTCTGAACATAGGCTTCTCAGCTAGTTGCCATATCAAATAGATATTAGTACATTTATCTGGTCCATCAGTTTTGTTAGCCTACCTTGGTTGATTAGTTTCTTTCTACTTGCATTTATTCTCCATGGATTTTTCTGGAGAACTGTTTTACAATTTTAGAACAGCTTTGTGTGATGTCCCTTTCTCATAGTCATCTATTTATCATGGGAAGTACTACTGTTAGTTAGAGAGAGTTATTTGGCTCAAGTGCATTATGAAAAGAAGGAAAGAAAAAAGAACACTTACTTCAATGTCGGAAAGTATGCCTGGCTTTTGTTAAAGATATGTCATAAGCTCATTAGATACTTAAACAAATAGGGAACAGCCAAATGCTCAAATACTGAATTCACTGTATTAGGCATCACCCTTACTCATGAGATGGGACCACACAAGTTATGTTGAAACTGATGAGAGAGCTATTATTTGGACTTATTAAAGGAATGGTTTGGCAAAGAGTTTGAAGAGAGACCGTATAAACTGTATTTCCATAATTGGTCCATTGAAGCCTGCTGAATAATTTTAAATAGGTTTCATGTTCATTGATCTTTGACTGGGGGATCAGAACCACAACTATTACCTGTTCCTAACTAATGTTGGTCATATCAGGAGCATCAACACCATTTGCACTTGTTTGGTATTGAAAGAAATATTGGGGGGGGGGGGGAGAGAGAAAGGAGGAGAGAGAGAAGAGCAAGATGGATGTGTAGAGAAAGAGAGACTGATTGATTGAGTTGGTGGGGAGGGGACTAAAGTAGAGTCCCAAATGTGAATGAGTCAGGATCCATTAGCACTGAAATGTCCAGCACTATAGTCCTGCTTTGCCTGCCATGACTTCACCCTATGGAATCCTGGGGTTTGCAGTTTGTTGAGGCACTAGAGCTTTTCAGCAAAACTACAAATCCCAGGATTCCATGTAAGGTGACCATGACACTTAAAGTAGAATCATAGAGCTATATTTATGTGGTATGAACGGATCCTTGGAAATAGTATCACAAATCTAATTTTAATATCCTTATCTTTATCGCATATCTATTTTAAGGTTGCTTCATGCAATAGCTTTAAGTGATTCTGAGGATTCTGTTGTTCCTTTGACCCTCAGAGCAGATTTTTATTTGCTAGATATTCGCTTGAAAGAAAGTGGTAGCAAATTAAAAGCAAAATTCCTGATTTTTGCTATGTTTTTCCTCAGCATAAAACTTTCCCATAAAAGACATCGTTTAACCCCTTTTAGCACCTCTTCCCTATAACAAGGAAACAATTTAGAGGGTGGCCCTGTATTGAATCAAAAAGCATTCCAGGTAGGATGCAATTTGTTTGCCCATTTTAATTTGTATAACATCTGTTTGCCTGGATAGCAGACAGACAAAGTGTACCATTCTAGAACCAGCAAATAAGTGGAAACTAATGTCTGGAACAGGAAATGTAGTAGTGACTGGTAATGGAAATGGGCAGTGAGTTGCATTGGGCAAGATGTTGAGCTAGGCTGTGGAAGACTCAGGTTGATTCCCACTAAGCTATGAAGTTCACAGGATGACCTTGGGGAGTTTTGAACCCATCTCACCTTGAAGGGTTACTGTGAGTATAAAACAGAGGAAACTGAGGAGAAAGGAATCATGTACATCATATTGACTTCCTGGAAGGAAAGGCAGACTAGAAACGAAGTAAATTCACCCTCTTTGCATTGGCTCAGGACTACAACTTCATACCTGCTTGAAACAGAAAATATTCACTCACCTAATCCACAACTGACAGTGATTTTTAAAAAAATTGGTTTCAATGGCCACGTGCCCAGAGGACGTTAATTCTGGAAGGAGCATTAAGAGACTGGATGACAGCTCCCCAGCCAGAAAGATGGGCACTTTCTTTGCAGGTATGCGTGCATCCGTTTGTCAGATTGGCACTCCTCACTTCCCTGGAGAAGGTTGCCCCCCCCCCTTTCCTTCCCTCCCTCGGTCATCCGCCAGTGCCTTTCTCTCCCTCTCACACTCTCTGTTTATTTTTCCTGCCTCCATCTGGGCCATGCTGATATTGTAATCACCCTGATGCACATTGCTCCCTCCCTCCTCCTTTCTCTCTCACACAATGTGCCATCCTGACAAGGCTCTTACTTCAGATAAGCTGCGATGTGTGTTTAATGAATACAAAGCCCTGGCTGTGCTGCTGCCTCAACCCCTGCCTGTGCTCTCCTTAGCCAGAAGGTAATCTCCAAGCATGGGAAAGGGGGGGAWGCATGGTGAGGGGGGTGGTGCATGGTGAGAGGGGGCATGAGGAAGAGAGCAAGGCTTCTTTTCCTCTCTCTCTCCCTCCCTCTCCCTTCTTCTTCTCCTCTTCTCTCTCTCTCTCTCCATCCCTCCTCCTGATGCTGAAGTCGATAACAGGCTCCGAGAAGTGAAGATGTAACCTCTTATCTTGCTTCTCCTCTTAGCTGGTGGGGAATTTACATTTAAAGATTAGCCCAGAGTGAGGAGGGGGGGGGGATCTGCCTTTTGTTGTGTGAAGTGATGAGGCATCTAACCTCACCTGGCCTGGCATTCCCCCATCAGTCCCCAGATTCATACAGGACTTGTGGGGAGGCGAGATTATTATTCTCTTCTAGTCGTTCCTTCCTTTTCCACCGCTCCAACCTTATCTTTAATTGGGCTAATTTGGTTAGTCGGAATGGGTTGAAGAGATTTCTAAAAACCACATCCAAGATAAAGCAAAAGAAGTGCATGTTTTTTTCTTTCCCCCTGGGGAAGAATAGATTATTTATTGACTAGGCTTTAAGTCCATTCAATGGAGAGAGAAATTGAACATCATAGCAACTCGATTAGCTCTTTTATTAGGTGAGAATGGGTTGAAAATACTCTCTTCTTCACTGCAAAAAAGAGGAGCGAAAGTGTGTGTGTGTGTGGGGGGGGGCACTTCATTCCCCTCACCTCAACTTTACTGACAGGTCTGCATGCCAGTTACCCAGGTTGTTTTGATGCAGGAGCTGTCACAATAAATAAATACAATTAATTCCAAAGTGCTCTGCATGTTTACTTACGAGAAAGCTGTGATACTTTAGTAGGATTTAGTTTCTTTTAACATCTTAGCATTGCAGCCCTTTGGGGATTTCTTATTTGAATTTTATGCTTGACTTGCATATATGATTTCATAAATTCCATTTTTTTAAAAAAAATCAGTTGTGGTTACTGTTTTTAGCATTGTCAGCTTTTAGTTTTTAGAATTTGCGTCTATATACAAATTATATACATCTTTAATTTTCATATAATGCTTAGAAGGAAAGAATTGCGTATCTAAAACATGCAAACAAACACTGTGGCTAAAAAGAAAACCTTAGCCCCATTCCTAAGCAAAAATGTTTTGAAATCTTGTGCTACCCATAGACCTTACTTTCAAATGCATTTGGGGTATAAGCACCTTTCTCTTGTTACTGCACCTGGCCAGCTGTTTAAATAGCTGGACACAGAGACAGTAGCTAAGAGCCTAATTAAAATTTGTTTAAAGTCAAGAGGGCTGGCAGGACATGTATCCTTGTTGACAACAGCCGATCAATAGGGTAAGAGAATAGAGTCCCATTATTTTACTTCCATTGAGTGAATATATTGACATTTCAGGTTTATGATTGCCTCAGTGAGCATGATGGAACACAAGTTCAGAAACCAACAGGCAGAGTGCCACATATATTATTGTATGTCATCTTTGCCTTCAAGTTACTTTATCACTGGAGCAGAAAAGTAATGGATGGCTTCACAGCATTTGGGAAAGTATGGAGCATGATCAGTTTCAAAAGTGATGTGCAGAAGATAATTGGAACATCTAATTATACCTTAAATACGTTACCTGCCATTGCTGCTATTCATGGAAGTGTACAGGATAATGGTAGATGGCACACTTGTGTTTACATAGGAGAGCATCCAGTATTCTTTTAGGCGTGGTTGGGAGATGACACATAAATCCATCTTTTAGGAGTGATTGGGAGACAACATATAAATCCACCTATGTATAAATACAAAGGCGGAATTCTTCCTAGTTTCATGAAAACCAAAAACATTGCTCGAATGGGATTTCCATTATCAGTGTCTGGTTTTGTGTGTGTGTTTGTATGTCAGGAGCAACTTGAGAAACTGCAAGTTGTTTCTGGTGAGAGAGAATTGGCCGTCTGCAAGGACATTGCCCAGGGGATGCCCGGATATTTTGATGTTTTTACCATCCTTGTGGGAGGCTTCTCCCATGTCCCCACATGGGGAGCTGGAGCTGACAGAGGGAGCTCATCCACGCTCTCCCTGGATTCAAATTTCTGAACTGTCGGTTTGCAGTCCTGCTGGCACAAGGGTTTAACCCATTGCATCACCAGGGCCTCCTATCAGTGTCTGTTTATAGATAGGATCCATTTCTGATGGTAAAGAGGAAGGTTATACCTAAAGAGAATATAATGGTCTAGGTTTCTCCCCACTTTTCTGATGACTACATATACTATCTTAAGTGCATGTATATATACTGAAGACACATTGACTGTGAAATATATAGTAACTTTAATTATCTCAAGTTCTTTAAGATGTTCTGTAAAATTGAGCTGACAGCACACAAAAAACCCCATCAGAGTTAGGCAGGCAAGGAGACAGAAATTAATTCAAAGCAGACAAAGAGATAATATGAAAACTATCAGTACTGATTTAACCTTTTTAAAAAAACATAAATGGAAATATAAAATGCATTCATATTGTGTCATATAATAATATACCAATTGTGGTCATGAAGTGGACTACTGATGCCCCCATGAGATGGTGAGGAGAAAATGAGTCCTTCATACCATTTTCATGAAAACGTTAGGTTTCTGTTTGATCAGCAGGTGCTGTTGAGATGAAAGCCATGTGTAAATTTTCAGAAGGCCAAAAGTGTCAATTCAGAAAAGGAAAGTGATAAGAGAAAATGCAATCAGTTTTCCTGTTTTCAATTTGTGCAGGATTTGAAGAGCTGTTTTGTTAAACTGCTACATCTGCTGCAATATGAATATTGAACTACTTCCACTAAAAATAACACCCTATAATTTGCAAGCCACTGCAATCTTTTGTTAATGTGAGTGGGTTATATGGGGGGGGGGGGGAGAGAGTCTGTTCTGAAAAAAAATCTCTAGCTTTATGTTTGCTTTTGTTTAATGTGCGTTATTGTTTGAGCTTAAAAAAATCCTTTTGTTTTATCAGAAAAACAGCATTATGTGGTTAGGACCTCATCGTGATGGGTTATAATATTTTATTTTTATCATTACATATTAAAATATTATTTAACTTATGTTAATTTTTTTTTTGGGGGGGGAAATATTAGTGAAATATAATCCTTTAAAATAATACGGTGTCCTGAAATCTAGCATTTATTGTAACAAACCACGATTCAGATTCTGCTGTGTCTCCAATCTTGAATGAAATACAGTGTAGCCTATTTCTTATTATACGAGCAAATCAAAATTGGAAGGTAATCAACAGTATTTTAGTTAATAGCGCTTTCAGAGCAACTTTTTAATACATTTAAATAAAATGATTAAATTATGCCTGAGTGGATTCATTAAACATCCTCTTCAGCCGTGTTGTTAATCAAGTTTTATGAAATGTGCAGGACATGGATTGTCAAAAGCAAGTGAAGGTTAGAAATTATAGAGCCTAGCTAGATATTTAAATTTTTAAAACATTTCAAACCAATGAGGAAAAAATATGACCTAAAACAGTGTTTCTCAACCTTTGAGTATAGACCCCTGGTGGGATCGCTGGGGGGGGGGGTCGGAGGGGTCACCAAGGACTATCAGAAAACGCAGTATTTTCTGTTGGTCATAGGGGTTCTGTGTGGGAAGTTTGGCCCAATTCTATCGTGGGTGGGGTTCAGAATGCGCTTTGATTGTAGGTGAACTATAAATCCTAGCAACTACAACTCCCAAATGTCAAGGTCTATTTTCCCCAAACTCCACCAGTGTTCACGTTCAGGTATATTGAGTATCTGTGCCAAGTTTGGTCCAGATCTTCATTGTTTGAGTCCACAGTGCTCTCTGGATATAGGTGAACTACAATTCTAAAGCTCAAGGTCAATGCCCACCGAACCCTTCCAGAATTTTCTGTTGGTATGGGTGTTCTGTGTGCCAAGTTTGGTTCAATTCCATCATTGGTGGAATTCGGAATGGTCTTGGATGGTAGGTTAACTATAAATCCCAGCAATTACAGCTCACAAATGACAAAATCAGTATTAGCCCCCCCGCCCAACTCCACCAGTATTCAAATGTGGGCATATCAGGTATATGTGCCAAATTTGGTCCAGTGAATGAAAATACATCCTGCATATTAGATATTTACATTAGGATTCATAACAATAGGGAAATTACAGTTATGAAGTAGCAACGAAAATAATTTTATGGTTGGGGGTCACCACAACATGGGGAACTGTATTAAGGGGTCGCAGCATTAGGAAGGTTGAGAACCACTGACCTAAAAGATAAAGTAGACCTGAAAACAGAAATCTGTACAGTTTGCAAGTAGCAATTTTAATGCTCTTCTTTGACATACCCGGATAACTATACAATTAGTGTTACTGAATTAATAAAATGTGTTTTGAGATATTTAAAATAATGCTATCAGCAAAGTCAGTGAAAATGAAAAGAGCAGGGAACTGTGCTAAAACTGGGATCTTAAACTGAATGCAGCATGGAAATATCTTTAATGTTCTTGGTATGTCTTCAGTTAGATATTGGAATGGAAACTTTTTAAAGAAAAGGATGCACTGCAAAGGAATCAGAGTTTCTAATTCAAAGCAAAATCTTGCAAATTTGCCTTTATAGCCAAGACTCCATCTAGTGGAGTAAATCTGCTTAATCAGCAGTCGCAAGCAAGCACACCGGGTGGTTGTTTGCTCTGTGATAGTTGTAGTGTTCAAATGTTAAATTATTGGTTCCAACAGGTTATTCTCTGCTACGCTTTAGCCCCTGGGAATGTTAATCACCACTGGAGAAAGTAGCTTCACTGTCCACATCAGTGCCATAAGAACCTATAGTTAAGCTCCCTGGCTATAGGAGCCTTCAATATGTCTGCCTGGCTGGATGTTAATATGCAATTTGCATAAGTACCAGTCATTACCACCAACCAGTTTCCCTTTGTGATTCACTTCATCTGAAGAGCTTATAGACTACATTTCTTGCCTGACTGATGATGACCGCAGAGTCACCTCCCTAGGT